CCCCCCCCCCCCCAAATGTTTAAATTTAAACAAAACAACATTTTTTTCCTCCGTTTTATTCATTTCAAAACTGTTTTACTACAAAGTCCATAAACAGACTTTTTCTATATATTCGTACAATACTCAAAAATGATTATAAACACAATTATAAATAGTTTATACACTAGCTCTAGATATTTACTGCTAATTGTAACGAATTGATACTTTTTTCTATATACCATGATGATGAAAGGATCTGCATAGTTATTTTCTTTTCTTTTCACTATTATTTTCCAATTGTATTTATTCTGAAAAGCTTTTAATAAACAGTTGGCTATATTTTAGCAGACATTATTTTTTTTCACATATTCATATAAAATCTTTTTTCCCGCCCATTTACTTGAACCCTGCTCAGTGCCCATAATAGCCTATGAGCCATTTTGGAGTGGTCGAAATTACTACTTTAGCTCAAACAGAGCTATACAAATGTATATATAATATAATATAATATAATATAATATAATATAATAGCTAATATTTATAATTACAACTTCCTAGTATGTATACTTTTTAAGACCTATTTTAACGTCCATCAATGGGTTGTTTAGAGTTTCAGTTTAATGAGGGAGGGCATCAACATTCCACCGTTCCATACACTTGTATTACTGAAGGGGATTATTATTAGTGGCGAGTAGCCTATTTTCTCCATTCAGCCGCCAGGGTTCGCCTCTGAGCTCAGGGCACATGGCCCGTTTTTCTGTGCCACACCAACCACAACTGAACACCCGCCGGTGTTACACCGGGCACCACACGAAAGAAGATAAGAAACGCCCTAAAAGGAAAGTCAGTAAACCTTTTTTCTACCTCACTTCACTCAACAGTCACCTCAAAGATTTTTTAAAAGCACCTCAAGTATGACTAAACTATAACTGCTTTTGAAAGCGTTTCAACCACTATCCATTCTTCGCGCATCACATAAATATTCCCGATGACAAATAACATAATATTGGTTCAATATAGAAAAAAAAAGCAAAACATAAATGAATTTTCTTGGTTTAACACTATACCTGTCGTCAGAGCTGAGCTAATCCCCGCCCCTTTCCAGTGGTAGCCCACAGAGACATATAAATACCTAGACGCCTCATTGGCCGCTTTGAGCCGTTGCTGCGATACGTCAACGCGTCCGCCATGTTTGTGAAGGCAAGACTGCCTTAAAAATAAATGGAGGTAAACGGAGGAGCTGCGTTTTTTTCTGGATAAAAACACGATAACGTTTACATTTATCAACCGATTTCAGAGGTTTGTGATCTACATGGAGTTAAAAATAACGCTGCCTCCAGTTATTTAGTTAGGTTTGGAAAAGTATTAATTTTCGTAAGAAATTGTGAAAGCTCACACTTGTCTCACTTGTTGATTTTTGATTGATTTTTTCGGTTTACAATTCTAATGTTAATGTATTAT